GTCCGGACTACTCCTCATAAAGTACTGGTGCAATTTCATCCAAACTTTACAGGAATGATCAGTATCAAGTCTAGTTGTGCACTGTACGTCTGTCTGTCCGTCTGTCACAAAACTTGTCCCAACATGAAATTGACCATCATGAGGCGACACATGTGATCACTGATCGCTCTTGTAATTGTAGTAAACTGGCTATAAGACTAATTCAATTTAATGTCTATTTGACTTAAACAATTTGAAAAAAATGAGTTGCCTTAACTGGCAAAACTCCAGACTTCTCGCTTCCTAAGCGAGCGCGCAAACCCATCGGCCACGATGAAGTTATATGTTAACAGCCTGAAGAAAACCATGTTATCCTAAATTAGGGTTTGTAACCTTTATTATTTCGACGCTAACTGTTGTTTAACACAGATGTAAATAATCATGGAGCTTACTATAAGCATGTATATCTACAAAGAATAAAACAATATTAGAAATCTTGGACCATCCAGGAACTATTTTGCTTGAAAATTAATGCGCCTGTCATTTGACCATCTTTACGCAGTGATCTCCCCTTAATTTTTCGGCGATAATGTACATATGAAGGGAAGTAACCGCTTCGAGGAGTTTGGACTACTTTCGGCATTTGCAAATAAGAACATCAGGGTCTGAAATTTCGCTACCATTATTTGTTTGGTCTGACGACACAAACAAATAAAACGGCTTCTAAAACTTTTACGACAACAATTCGTTATATACAGGACGACCTCGGCAGCAAGTATTTTGATTTTTCTATGACCACCAGACAGCTACAGCTTACGTGAAGACTTCCTCTAGAGCAAAATCAGATTATGATTTACTTGTCGGTTTAACCTGAAGCATACAGACAACTGATTCGGTCGTCCCTTGAAGATTAGTAAAACAACTTTTAGAATACGAGTACTACAGTTAAAACTACAACTTCTGCTACTACGACAAATTTAACTTTATGGCTAGGACTACAACACATACTATAACCACTACTGCCACGACATTTAAAAGTACCATTAAAGTAAGAGATGTGACGACATTTACCACCACTGCTATTCAACTACAACTATACAAACGGCTATCAATACGGCTACAGAAACATGACTGCAACTATAACTGCGACCATGACTGCCAATTTTACGATAGTGATGTGTCAGATGCTGATGGTGCACTGATAAATTGATGATTGATTGATATTGGTGAATAACATTGTAATGAATCATGATGATGATAATGTACGGATAATAATGATGATTTCTCTTGATGATAATGTTGATGATAACTATGTACTGTTGATTATGATGATTATAAAATGATGATTATGATATACTGATGATAATGATGATGAGTAAAAGATGATGATGATTATGATGATGATTATAATGATGAGATAATGATGGTTATAATGATGAGATAATAATTATAATGATGAGATAATGATGATTATGAGATATTGATGAACAAATCGTGTGAGCATCACTGGTCAACATCACATCTCCGATTTTTTTTTATTTTTAACCAGGTTTTCCGAAGGAAAAAACTGGTTATTAGATTGAGGTATGTCGGCGGGCGGGCGTAAACAATTTCTTCTGTGCGCAACTCCTTCTACATTTCTCAACGGATTTTGACCAAACTTTTACAGAAGCTTTGTCATCAAGTGCCCTGGCGCATATTGTCGGGGTTTTGCGATTGGATAATATTTGACCTAATTATGGCCCTTTGTTTTTTTTCCTTATATAGAATATAGTGAACAATTTCTTCTGTGCGCAACTCCTACATTTCTCAACGGATTTTGACCAAACTTTCACAGAAGCTTTGTCATCAAGTGCCCTGGGTCATATTGTCGGGGTTTTGCGATTGGGTAATATTTGACCTAATTAAGGCCCTTTGTTTTTTATGCCACCGCAGCATCTGCGATGCGGTGGCATATAGCGATTCACCTGTGTGTGTGTGTGTTTGTGTGTTTGTTTGTGTGTGTGTGTGTGTGTTATATAGATTATATAGTGAACTTAAAAAATCTTCTTGTGAAAAACCACTTGTCCAATTTCAACCAAACTTTGCAGGATTGATCCTTGGATGAAGGGCTCACAAAGTTGTTCAAAGAATTTCATTCCATGCAGAAATCTGGTTGCCATGGCAACCAAAAGGAATTATAAGAATAAATTTAAAAGATCTTCTTGTAAAGACCCAAAAGGCCTAGAGCTTAGATATTTTGCATAAGGCATTGTCTGGTAGACCTCTACCAAGATTGTTCAAATTATAGCCCTGGGGTCAAAATCGGCCCCGCCCCGGGGGTCATTGATTTTCACTATATGTACATATAGTAAAAACTTAAAATACCTTCTTGTAAAGACCCAAAAGGCCCAGAGCTTAGATATTTTGCATAAGGCATTGTGTAGTGAACCTCTAGCAAGATTGTTTAAATTATAGCCCTGGGGTCAAAATCGGCCCCGCTCGGGGGGTCATTGAATTTCACTATATGTACATATATAGTAAAAACTTAAAATACCTTCTTGTAAAGACCCAAAAGGCCTAGAGCTTAGATATTTTGCATAAGGCATTGTGTAGTGAACCTCTAGCAAGATTGTTCAAATTTTAGCCTTGGGGTCAAAATCGGCCCGCCCCTGGGGTCATTGGTTTTCTTTATATGTATATTGTAAAAAACTTACAGTAAAAACTTAAAAAGAATTTCTTCTAGCAATTGACAAATGCTAGAGGTTAGATATTTTGCATGAAACATTGTGTAGTGAACCTCTAGCAAGATTGTTCAAATTATAGCCCTGGGGTCAAAATTGCCCCTGCCACGGGGGTCATTGATTTCCAATATATACATATAGTAAAAAATGAAAAAATATTATTGTCTGAAGGTACAAGGCTTAGAGCTTTAATATTTGTTAAATGATATCATCTATAGGTACTCTACCAAAGTTGTTCAAATTTTGCCTCTAGTGTCAAAATTAGCCCCGCCCCGGGGGCCATAGGTTTTCCTTATATGTGTATAATAAAAACTTAAAAAATCATCTTCTCTAAATTTACAAAGGCTAGAGTTAAGATATTTTGCATGAAACATTGTGTAGTGAACCTCTAGCAAGATTGTACAAATGATAGTCCTGGTGTCAAAATTGGCCCAACCCCCAGGGGTCAATGATTTTCACTATGTACATATAGTAAAAAAATAAAAAATCATCTTGTCTGAAGGTACAAGGCTTAGAGCTTTGATATTTGGTATATAATATCATCTATGGGTCCTCTACTAAAGTTGTTTTAATTATGCCCCTAGTGAAAAAATTGCCCTGCCCTAGAGGCGATAGTTTTCCTTATATGTACAAAGTAAAAACTTGAAAAATCTTCTTCGCTGAATTGACAATGGCTAGAGGTTAAATTTATGGCATGAGACTTTAGGAAGTGAACCTCTACTAAGATTGTTCAAATTATAGCCCTGGGGTCAAAATTGGGTCCGCCCCGGGTTCATTGATTTTCATTATGTACATATAGTAAAAAAAAAATAAAAACTATTTTTGTCTGAAGCTACAAGGCATAGAGCTTTGATGTTTGCTATATAATATCATCTGGTAGGTCCTCTACCAAAGTTGTTCAAATTTTTCCCCTGGTGTCAAAATCGGCCCTGCCTGGGGGCATTGATTTTCATTTAGTACACATAATAAAAACAGAAAATAAAACAAATGTTTTCTGAATGGGAGAAAGCTACAGCTTAGATATTTGACTTGAAATGTTGTTTGGTTGACCTGTATCAAGATTGTTTTGAATTAAACCCTTGGGTCAAAATTTTGCCTTGCCCAAGGGGACAGTGACCTACTTTCTTGTCCTTTGATGTACAGCAATTAAATTTTGACCATGTGCACAGTTTAAGTTGTAAAATTGAACTTTTATATCAAGTGACCTAGATTTTGATTATGTGACCGACTTTCTTGTCCTTTGATGTACAGCTATGAAATGTGAACCATGTGCACAGATTAAGATGTAAAGTGAACTTTGATTATCAGCTGACCTAGATTTTGACAAAGTGTCTTACTGTGTTGTCCTTTGATGTAGTCATGAAATTTAGGCTGTCGTCTGCTTATCTTTCTGCAAGGGAATGCTAGCAGTTTATAGTAATACTTTGGCTTTGCATTGGTACCGGCTCATCCAGACAATAATACACGAGGTTAATAAAAGACCCGTTCTTCAACAGCATTTGTTCCTACCCTTCAATTTGTGTAATGCGGTGGCATTATAAGCATTTCTCAAATGCAATCTTGTTTTTCCTTATAAAGAATATATAGTGAATAATTTCTTCTGTGCGCAACTCCTCCTACATTTCTCCACGGATTTTGACCAAACTTTCACAGAACCTTTGTCACCAAGTGCCCTGGGGCATATTGTCGGGGTTTTGTGATTGGATAATATTTGACCTAATTATTGCCCTTTGTTTTTTTTCCTTATATAGAATATATAGTGAACAATTTCTTCTGTGCTGAACTCCCTCTACAATTCTCAACGGATTTTGTTCAAACTTTCACAGAAGCTTTGTCATCATGTGCCCTGGCGCATATTGTCAGGGTTTTGTGATTGGATAATATTTGACCTAATTATGGCCCTTTGTTTTTTTTCCTTATACAGAATTATCAATATATTATAGTGAACAAATTCTTCTGTGCTGAACTCGTCCTACATTTCTCAACGGATTTTGTTCAAACTTTCACAGAAGCTTTGTCACCAAGCGCCCTGGCACATATTGTTGGGGTTTTGTGATTGGATAATTTTTGACCTAATTATGGCCCTTTGTTTTTTTCCTTATACAGAATATATAGTGAACACTTCTTCAGTGGCAATTCCTCCTACATTATTCATGTTTTACATTGCACATAGTTACATTGTTTGTTGCATGTATTTGTATTTCAAATACAACATATTTATCTACAATGGTGATAATTGAAAACCTGGTTTCATGGCATTGCCATGTTTCTTGTTTATTTATTTATTTATTTGTGCAGGCTTGTTCGTGATAATCGGTGCCATTGTGTTTGTTGTCGACAACGAGGTAAAGAAAATGGTGGAATCGGCGAACCCCTTGGTCCATTTCAAACCTCATGCATCGTTTGGTTTGAGTATTGTTGCTGGTATACTCAATATTGTGGCTTCACCGATGCTGATCTTGGCTGCCAGAGCTATTCCTGGCCTTACATAAAATCAACGAATATTGATCCGCGTGAATCTTGCCTTTTGATTTACATTACAATACTGCTTACTTCAAACTTGATATCTTAATTGTTTAATCGTGAAAGGAATTCCAGAACAGAGCCTATGTGTCCAATTCTTTTTATATTTTTTCAAAAACTTAAAACTTAAGAAAAAGGTGGGTTTAATTGTAATTGTGTTTCTGCAAAGCATGCTGTATATACATATCTATTTTATTTTTTCTATTTTTCATCTTTTCTGAGAAAGGAATTGTCAGCACTTATAGTTTTAAGCTGTGGAGTGTTTTCAAAAATTATTTCTATTTTGTTACACATGTATAACTAACAATGCCAATCAAGAAATGGCGTTTATGAAAAGTAAAAAAAAAACTATTTCTTTTGTTTGGATTTTTTGTAAGCTCATTTTGCATTTCTGAAGGACACTGTACTTTCTTTTTCGTTGTTACCGCATCAGTATGGTTACAATTACAACGAAATAGTAAATATTTTTAGTTTTTCACGATACTGCCAAATAGATTAAAAAGTTTAACACATTTTTGAATTATTATTTCAAAATTATGTTGATGTTACCAAAACAAATTAGCACATTAGCGGATAGAGGCAATGCTTGCTTCAAATGATTAGTAGCTTAAACGCTTTCATTTTTACATAAATAAATATTCGTATTTTAAACCTTTTCGGTTTCACATAACTGAAAATTCGTATTTTGAACACTTTCATTTTCACATAACTGAACATTCGTATTTTAAACGCTTTCATTTTCACATTACTGAACATTCGTATCTTGAACGCTTTCATTTTCACAGTACTGAGTAAGGGATACTTTATTTCAAATAATAATCACATCTGTTGAAATATCTTTAATCTTTTTTTTTCTTAAAAATGTTAATTTAGCAAAATAGCTTACCATTTATGTTTCTCAAAAACAAACTTTTGTTATATCTTTATTGCTTTTAGAGTACCGAGATAGCAGGAACTAAACCCATCATAACTCATTTTTTTGTTATAGTAATTTTTTCTCATACTTTGTTTTAATCATATCTATTTATTATTCAATGTTTATTGAATTATAAAGAAAAATATCACCATTACCTTTTATGATGCAAGTATTTGCATTTTTATACAAATTGTCTATACTCAATAAAGTTCTTTTGTGTATTTTCGAGTTTATTGTGTAATGACCATACCAAAAGCAAGTATATACTATATACTACTGTGCAGATCTAAGCAGATATTTGTCAAGGTAGCATTTTATTCGGCTCTTCTCAAAGCATTCAGCGCACAGCTGCCAAAAATATAAGTAAAAGTCAATTTCCACATTAAGTATTCATAACAACAATAAGATGACACTATTACACAATTTTCATTTAATACTTCTATGGTATTAGCTATACAAGGGTGTATACGCACTTTTATTATCCCCCGCCGAAAAGGCGGCGGGGGATGGCCATGTTGACATGGCTCTTGTTAACCATGAACAGAGACTCGTGAATGTGCTCCCATTTACACCGCCTACCTGGTTACACCGTATAATAATAAAACTTAAAGTCTAAAAAACAAAACATATCTATACCATTGCAAAAAGAGGAAAAACAAGCACGTTACAAAGAACTTACTCCATAGCTTATTTTATTCCATAGCTTCGTTTGAAAAGCTATTCACGATTACAGGTTTGGCTAAAAACCTTGGACACACTGGGACATAGTTAAATAGTTTAATTTTGTCCAGATAAGGTTGAATATAAGGGAAATTATACGGATCATAATTTGATTGTGACGAGCCGGACTTTACCGAAGACGACGTTTGTCTCCACGAGTTAATTCCCCTTTCCTCTCAATTCCAGGAATAGTATTATCCAGCACAAAACCAATGAGTCCTCCAACAAACATACTGGTACTCAAAAGGACGGATAATAATTGATCTATGATGTCATTTCCGGTATCGATGACGTCATGCTCTGTAATCCACATTGGAAGACTAAGACCGAAGAATAAAGAAACTCCTAGAATAAATAGGTTTCGTGGTGAGTTAAGATCAATATACTGTAGATTTGATAACCCTACAGCCGTCACCATACCGAAAGTTATCATAAACATTCCTCCGATTACAGGTGTTGGAATTAAAGTAAACAGTGCCGCAAACTTTCCAAAACAACCAAGGACTAGCATCATAAGCCCGCCGATTTGGACTACACGTCTACTGCCTACATTTGTTATACCACAGTGTGGCAATACCACGTGACATTGACGTCATTTTCGGCATCATTTCCAAGACAAATGTTGCTCGATTCGGAAAAGAAAATAGCCGTAAATATTTTATTTCTGTACCAATTTCTTTGGGATATGCACCAGTCTACGGGGAAAAATATAAGCTTTCCATAGAATATTGGATCTTCGTCAGTATATAAGCCGTTTTATCAAACACTTTGCCTAACCTTGGAAGTTGCTTGTTTTAGAGCGGGCTTCAGTTGCAAGCTATTTCGTTTTCTGGCGTTATCTGGTCTTCGCCATGATTAAAAAGTCAGGTTTACATCAACCGGGAGTACGGAAGGCAAAACTCTACCTAAATATGTTCATTTTTTTATTATGAATGACATAAATCTTACATTTTTCTTCAATTGTCAAATCTGGCACCAGTTCCAAGTCGAAAAAAAAAGGACTACAGTTTAAAGCCGATTTTAGAATCCGTTGCAAATGCGAAGCAACATGCCTACCGTTCTCTTTTCTATAATTATGTTAACCATGAAAAACTTTTTATTTTCTATACAATTTACATAAACACAAATGAATATTTAAATAATTTTTTCCTCGCTGCGATATTGAAGTGATTTTAAAAGTAGTAAAATTGTTGTCTGTACTGCAGTATTTGTAAAGAAATTGATTTACTCTTTAATCATTGTTCTTTCACGGTAATGATTATGAAACATTTATTTGTGTCATGTAGCAATACTAAACATGGAATAGAAAACAGAAACCCTAAATTTCCCATAAAACGGCAAAATTGAAAATGTTTCAGGCTCTGATTGACTTAGCTAGCCTGTCCAATGAACGTGCACATTCCGGATCACTTCGATTTGTATGCTGTAAAAAGGGTTACGCCTCGACGCGGCAATTTTAAAGTCAAATGTTATTCTTTTGTAAAGAGCCTTTGTATAAATTTAAAGAACCTGTAGCAATCTTTTAGTATGATAGATTAAGCTTTTTAACACAGTGGCACTCGTTGATAAAAAATATTTTTATATCAAGTTTTCATACCCACGGTAACCGTTTTCGTGAACTGGATATAACTCCGTTAACTTAAGAACACTATTAAACACTATCTATTTTATAATTGCATTTATTTCTGTTGATGAACTGCATATCTGACAAATTTAGTTAATTATATCAGTCAACTCAGCTTTATCAGAGAGCTCACCAATATACATTGTAAAGAGAGGAAGGGAACGGAATATTTGTGGTTTGAAAACATTTAAATCGAGTAGAACTTTTTTAACAATAATGTCTCTTTCAACTGAATAAAAACGATAGGGCTATTTGGGACTATTTCTTATCGATGTGGCCATTGGCTGTAAATGCATGGATTATTGCACGCGGCATGACCTGCAAATGTCCTAAACACGCTTTTTGTAGCATTTTAAGATTAAAAAAGGATCGCACATTAAAATCTAAAACATGATAAACGTGACGCATATACTAAATAAGTGAATTATCTGATATGTAAATAAAGAAGTAAGTCATTTGACAGTTGAAGGATAAGAATTGAAATTACTCTTCAAATGTAATCGTAATTTTACTAAGCTTATGTTAGCTATCAATTATTCAATGGACGCATCAGTGGCATATGGACCCCAGTCATAGATCTTGCCGATGTTGCTATTACAGATGTTAATGTAAATATTTATATAATTATTGATAATCTTTGTTATTTCCGTCTTGTTGAATGTTTTGTTTCAAGAAATTTGATTTTGATCGATTGATGTTGGTTTGTAAAATCATTTATCTGTTAACTATTTTCTACTTTGTTTACTCCACATGGCGTCCATTCTCGTTCTTATTCATGGCTATTTTGGGTCTTTTTGATAAATAGAGAATTATAAGCAATGCAACTAAGTAACAATTCTATCAGATTTACAAGGCAAAGTTCCAAGTTCAAATTGTGTTTTAGTTTATCAAACTCTATAGAACTTTATTATACAACAATTCCAGAAAAAATATATACCTTTTAAAAGTCTCTCTTTTGAGGACAGAAGAACCTGTTCGTCACATTCACGAGTGTCAGTGTTTGTCAGAATAAACTGAAAAAATACCTTTAGCTTAACAACACTCGTGTTAAAGTGTAACCCTTTCCATATCATACAAAAGTGTTTTTATATTAACTCTTTCTCTCACTGAGAGCACATATATTTCTTATCAATTTCGCCATTGTGAAAATAGAATAAAACACATTTAACTACATAGGAAAAGATGAGCAATACTTTAAACATCTTCAAAACGAAACCAAACATTATTTTCCGACAGGACTAAATCTACGTGATTTGACGTGCACTATTGCGATACAAGTAAGTGTTGTTGCTTTAAGGAACAATCAGTTTTTTCATAATCTCTCTGTGAAAGATCAACAATGAAAAACTAAATTGTAGAAAGAGAACGGTAGGCATGTTGCTTCGCATTTGCAACGGATTCTAAAATCGGCTTTAAACTGTAGTCGTTTTTTTTCGACTTGAAACTGGTGCCAGATTTGACAATTGAAGTAAAATGTAAGATTTATGTCATTCATAATAAAAATATGAACATATTTAGGTAGAGTTTTGCCTTCCGTACTCCCAGTTGATGTAAACCTTACTTTTTAATTATGGCGTAGACCAGATTACGCCAGAAAACGAAATAGCTTGCAACTGAAGCCCGCTCTAATACAAGCAACTTCCAAGGTTAGGCAAAGTGTTTGATAAAACAGCTTATATACTGACGAAGATCCAATATTCTATGGAAAGCTTATATTTTTCCCCGTAGACTGGTGCATATCCCAAAGAAATTGGTACAGAAATAAAATATTTACGGCTGTTTTCTTTTCCGAATCGAGCAACATTTGTCTTGGAAATGATGCCGAAAATGACGTCAATGTCACGTGGTATTGCCACACTGTACCAATAACGCCTATGTTTTCAGCATAAGAGGTTGTTCCGTTTCCAGATCCCCAAATCCCTGCAAGAACGCATGCTACACCTTCTGTGAAAACTCCTCTGTTCACCGCATGTAATGGCGGAGGAGGAGCACCTGCAAGTCTTGCGCATGCGTAATAATTACCAATTGATTCGATCATGGCAGCTATTACGCCAGCGAGCATTCCAAATACACCAACCATGCTGACCTTTGGTAAACCCCATTGTCCTATATAAGGAAAACGAAACCATTTAGCTTCAGTCAGTACATGCATACCTGTGTCAGTTCGTGCCATATATCCCCATTTGGTTTTATCAGCCGGAAGTACATCTGTTGCCGTCAAAATTATACACACTATAAACGACGTCATAACTCCAAGCAAAACCGGGAACAGCGAGAAAAATGCAATTTTATCTTTTGTGCAGAAACAGGGGATTTCAACTCGTTTCATATATTGGCTAAATATAGTAATGAGGAACATTGTAAGTAAGGCAATCCACCAATGACCAGACGCCATCTTGGATCCGGCGGGAAAAAGTGAAATACCTGTTAATGTTATGATTGGCACAATGCAAAGAGGGCCTATATATTTCAACATGTACGTAAGTATACCACTGACTCCTGTAAGCACTTGGAACAACGAGGCCACAATTATAGCTCCTTGTATTTCACGTATCCGCAACATCCACATTTCACGGTGTTTTTCACTTCCTATTTCCGGCAACCCAAGTTGAGTTAAATTTAGATTTGGCCCATACTGGTTCCTAGCTGTTACAAACTCACACTCCCATTGCGGTTGTAGGAGAATTGCTATAGTTGGTATAACGAAAGTAACAGTCCCTCCTTGAACTATTGGTAGTCTAACACCCAAAGTGCTCTGAAGCAAGGTAGCCAGACCAGAGACAAACAAGATGGTCCCTTAAAAGAATTAAAAATGTTTATGAATAAAAGATAAACATATACATGTCAACGTTCAGAAAACAGTAAGACAAATATGAT